CGCATCATGCTAGTGGTCCCATTTAGCTAAACAACGTATAGATTACCGAGTTTTTGGCTTCCCCCAATATCATGCTTTTTATATTTTCATTGGCACAGTGGTGGCTCTCTCAACCATCTGCGCAGGTCAATTCGAACATGGGGGGAGCCTGAAATATATAGAGGAGCACTTGTGCCGGTGCCTGTTGGATCACCTTTGTGGAATAAGCAGCGCTGCACAATATAGTATACAATAGGTGACCGGTAATATTGGCAATCGTAGGGAACTGTGGGATACGACGGCTTCCGGTTCGACGCACCACGCGGGTAAGCAATGGCACGCAAGCGTTTTTGTACCACTACGTTGAAGAAAAAACTCGTCTCCGTGCAATTTCAGTGCTTTAGAAGTTGTTTTTTTTTTTTTGCTAACCGTGACTGTGCCGATGACAAGCTACGAAAGCCATGAACGGTAAGAAAGCTTATTTATCGCACTAAAATGATCTGCAATGATTTTATGCTGCTCGGGGGTACTGTCAGTTTTGCTAGCAGATCAATCGTAACAGAAAACAGTTTTCATTGTATGATACGTCAGTGCAGATAAAAAAATTACCATTTTAAAGATCTCAGAGGATGCGGATGATTGTAGCAGTGTGGTAAAAGTTCATTTTGGGATCACTGCTTCGGTAGACATCATCGTTCGATCGGCATGAAGCGCAGCACTTATTGAGCGCGTTAACATATCTTTTTTTTTTTTCTAGCCTCCAGCACTCTATAAGATGCACTTCTTAGTCGAAGCCAGATGCTTATTTGAACGCTGATCTTGGTCAAACTGCGCGGCACGGCGGCACATAACAAATACAGTCAGACATAGACAGTGCCGAATAATCGAAACCATGCGCTTGTTTAACGAACTTCTTCCTTTGGGTGCCCTTTTGGCGCACAGTTTGACCAAGATAAACGCAAATTGGCTCGTCCAGCGCATCGTGTAAACTTACTCTTGAGTGAAGCTTTCGCGTTTTCTTTTTTCACATACATGGGTGCAATGGCCGGCGCTCATCTCGTATGGCAGGTAGATTTCGCCCGCGTGTTTTCTTAATATCTTTGCTAGGCGCACCTGCGCGACAATTTATTTGTCAATATAATACTCGCGGCCAATTCATGCGTTAACTTTTTTTAGTGTGGAATACACACGTACGTGTGATAAAATGGTTTACGCACACTTTGGCTTCAACGTTCCCTACTCAAAGGCTGCCTGTCGCTGTGGCTCAGTTCACAGCCGCGGCCCACCTCATTTTTTTTATTCGTTCCATGGGAATTATACCTGCGTTTGCCATTCACGCTTGAGTTGGAGCAGCCAATGGCTGAACAACCAACCATGGTTTATCAGGACGAAGATAAACGAGCCACTGCTCGCGCAAATCACGAATAATTTGAGGCTAGCGGCGAAGCGGTTCGCCGTCGTCTACTCTTCTCGAACGGGAAGCCTGTAGCAGACGGTGCATCTCACAATGATTGATTGATATGTGGGGTTTAACGTCCCAAAACCACCATATGATTATGAGAGACGCCGTAGTGGAGGGCTCCGGAAATTTAGACCACCTGGGGTTCTTTAACGTGCACCCAAATCTGAGCACACGGGCCTACAACATTTCCGCCTCCATCGGAAATGCAGCCGCCGCAGCCGGGATTCGAACCCGCGACCTGCGGGTCAGCAGCCGAGTACCTTAGCCACTAGACCACCACGGCGGGGCGGTGCATCGCACAATCTCTCGCTCTTTTACTGGTCACCTATTCGAAGAATGGACAGGGAGGGAACGTAACACATCGTGTTTTTTTCCTCGATTTCTCTTGAATATCAAGAAAGGGAGAACGATGCATGGCCCCCTGCCCGCATTTTGCTCGGTGCCTACTGGCCCCAAGGCATAATTGCGATAACAGCACCCCGATAGCAAGAGTGGCGATGTGGGCTTGTTGGTGAAACATTTGAAAGAAATTTATGTATAGTGAGGCGAAAAAACGGACACAGGAAGGAATAGACTGAGAGGACAGAGCGCTACTAGCAACATATTTATTTTCGACCACCAAGCCGCTTTTAAGCCATAATCGTCAGGCGAGCAAGCAGATAAGCACCTGTATTCAGATAAATGCACGACAATGTCGTCTACCTACAAGAAAAAAAGCATAAATAGGACAACAAAAAAACATCACAGATAAAATCGCGTATCACTGCGTACGCAGGAATGCCTTGTCACCCACTTCCTTGGGTGACAAGGCAATTGAAGGCTTGCTAATACATACATCTCCAAGAGGATCAATAGGTTCGGCTTCTAGGATCAACCGAGTCATCTCATCCTTATGCCGACCAACAATGATTGTACTCTGGAACAAAGGCCGGCACCCACACGCGTGAATGTGAAGAGCGAGAAAACCTTCTGGTGGCAGTTTATCCGCCTTGTAATTGTGTTCTCTCAATCACTCATTCACACATTTACTGGTTTGACCGACATATTTTTTCCCACATGTGAACAGAATAAGATAAATGACGAACGAAATGCACTCCACAAATTTGTGTGTATGCCTTTTTGTGCACAACACCCTTTCCCCACGTGACTGATTCGTCAGTACACACAATTTCCCAAGTTTATCACGTACTGAAAATAGCACCCTAATATTGTCCCGAAGAGCCACTTTCTTTAGGTTATGTGACAGCTGGTGAACATATGGAATTATGGCCGTGCGTCTTGATTGTGCCGGTGAATCGACATGAACATTAGATTAGCTTGAACTTGTGCGAATCCTTTTGTCACAAAACGAGCGCTCAAAAAAGGGCGCGCCGCCAAATTCTCGCGACGAAACGCCGGAGTGACGCCGCGAGGTCAACGATAAAAAAAAGCATCCAAAGACTCCCCGGGCACGCGTCCTTCTCCCCTCGGAAGCATGGGTTCACCGACGAACCTCCTCTCAACGGCGCCCGAGGTAGCCCTCGAATGTTCTAGATGGAAAGGGGCGGGGTGATGCCGGGTCGCGTCATCTGTCGCGGACGGCCTTCCAATCATCTCGCCCTTTCCCCCAGCCTTAGCTGCGCATCGCGCCGACGAAATGATGAGAATTTTCTGGAATCTCGCGCGGAAGGTATTTAATCGAGCAGCTGAGATGAGAGATCAGGAGAAGACGGAAGTTAGCGCCAGAGCGCGTAGGGTATTCCGCCGTGTAGTCGGCGAAGGTTTTGTCCGTAGTGACAAAGCAGGAGAAGAGAATTTCCACCTGAGGGGTGAAAGCTCGAGCTACAGGCAAGAGCGTGTGTCTACCGCTATCGAGCGAAGACGCGTGGCATCAGCTGCGTGTGTGAAGCCGACATGTTTCCGGCGAAAAAGGTTGAAGCTTGGAGAGTGGCCAAGTGAAGACGCGAGGTTTTCTAGAAGAGAAACTTCGGGGGCAGTCGAGGTTTTCTGGAAGAAAAACTTCGGGAGCAGCGGAACGACAACAACGCTGGACTTTGAGTGAGTGATTCTCGGAAGAGTATCATCCAGACTTTTGTTCCAAGAATTTTGGACTGAATAGGTTTTCTATCTCTTTAGTCTTTAAGTATCTTGGTTGTTCAATGCGTGCGACTGCATTGTAGTACGTATTGTTGTCTGTGTCCGTTGTTTCGAGTGTGGCTGATTGTACTGTGTAGTACGTTGTTTGATTGGAGACATCTTGTACTCAACTATTGTGGAGTGTGCATACTTGTGTATTGTTTTTGATCTGCTATTATTGAGAATATAATTTTATTTTGTTTATCAACTCTCGGCTCTGACTTGTTCTTTGGGCTACAGCCGGCGTCCACTGGCGCGCCAAATAGGACCACTTCTAAACTGTCCACGCTTTCGTGGTGTGGTTCGGGGGGCCGATACTTCGGCCCTTGGAATTAGCCCGGCGATCGCCTCCCTAATTAACGGGACCCGTGACACATTTTCAACTCTATTTCCCCAACTGAAACTAAAACATGATCCGGATAGCCCGATCCTTGCAAACGTGTGATCTGATTATGGAAGCTCTGCTTCATAAGGTGCGCACATGACTTGTTCAATGCGTTTTTGAGGCAAGTCGTCACGATGGCTCTCTTGGTTAGTTTGCAATGACCGGGATGAAATGGGAGTAATCGTTTTTTCTTGTAGGTAGATGACATTTTCGTGCATTTATCTGAATACACGTGCTTATCTGCTTGCTCGCCTGACGATTATGGCTTAAAAGCGGCTTGGAGGTCGAAAATAAACATGTTGTTGCTAGTAGCGCTCTGTCCTCGAAGTCTATTCCTTTCTGTGTCTGTTTTTTTGCCTCGCGCTGCATAAATTTCTCCGATAGCAGTTGGCTGCTGCTCCTCAACCGGGTGTTTTGGCCTTGAAACTTTTGGCAAACCCTGTACATACGCGCATTCCTATATGTATGTATTTACGTGTAATATGCACATGCGAAATAGAAAAATGGTGAAGGGAATAACTCCCCCACCCCCTCCTTCTGGCTTCACCAGTACGTTATGGTATAGAATGGTATGCTCCGCGGTATCTGTAAAGGTATATTATACCACAGCAATGGAATGTAGCGCTAATCAACTCCAATGGGTCTAGTCAGAGCTGGGGGTGACGGCGAGAGGGGCAGCCAACGCCACAGGGCCCCTGGACCAAGGCCGACTACGGAGCGCAACAGCACGACACTGCCCCGACTGAAATTTACACTCTCTTTTGTGTTTCATGTGGTGGAAGAGTGATAACGCTATAAAAAAAGTCATGAAGGTCCCATGATTCTTTCTGCACGGATACGCTATAGCATGGTGATACCTATGTAACTCGGTGGCCTCAATAGCAGTGAGCTGTTTTCATGCCTCAGCAGATATTATCACTAAACAAACCTGCTAAGCCTAATAGATGTTGTCAGTGATTTGTGTCATTTGTTCAATGCTTTCTTATGTGATAACGCTAAGCCCTGTGTTTTTTACCGGGAGTGATTCTGATGCAATTATTGGTCTCTGTACAGCTCAAGAGATGTCTGACCCATCATACACCGGTATCTACGTCGACGACAGCGTTGTCAACGTAGCTAGGGACGTCATCCAGCAACAGGTAAACGAAAGCAAATCCATTGCAGCGTATGTAAACAGCGTGATCGACGAGCAAAATTAGAACACATACGACAGTGCTAGTGCTTCGCTTCCAACCAACGTTTATTTTATACGATCCTCTCATGCCCTGTGCACCAAGTACTACATGTGCATGCGTCATGACACAATAGATTATAAAGGTAAACTAATAAATGTGAGATGATGCAGACAAACCACTAAAGGGTCCCTGCAACACTTTTTCAGCATGGTCAAAAAACGCTGAAGATCGGGAGTAGACACTCCCGTTAACACGCGACCCAAATGTTATAGCGCAGCACGCAGCCTGGAATTTGCAACAAATTATCAAAAACAGCAAAACATTATTGTTTTCCCTTCCCTTGACAAATGGTGGAAGACTCATTTCGATCCCCGTAGCGCAACAGCTTAGGAGCGGCAGCCGCAGCCAAACCTCCGCGAGCCACCGTGCCGCTAACAAGTCGGCGAGTCCTAAGCGAGCGACGTCGTTCAGCTCGAGCAAGCGAACGCGAGACCAAACACGGCGCTGCACGCGGAATGTCTGCCGCCAGCGAACTTCGAACAGGAGAGCGAGCGTACGCTTGGCCACCGCCACGAACAGCGCCGAGCTGGTTTGGAGCTAGCGTCGAAGAAATCGACAATAATGCGGCCCTTTTCCACAAACTCAAGCGAGTGCAGCACGCAAACGCGAGTCCACCGCCACGGCCAACGGACGGCGCCGAGCTGCTTGCGACCGACTGACGAGAAAGCCAACTGTAATGGCGACAAACTTTCAGTTAGTTCCGACGCTAGCGAAAGCCCCGCCAGCCCGTGCAGGTGCATTTACAGCGCGCGATATACTACAACCAAGCTCTTTACGAGAACCCGCAACGTGTTTTCGATGACTCCCAACACAGCGACGAGGTCTCAGCCTAATATCGTCAGCCCGGAGCTCATCGCGGCGGCGAAGACAGGCGAGCACCCGATGAGTGAGCGTACGGGAGGCCGACGGCAGTGATGGCCAATGTTCAGGTGGTCGCAAAGCACAGGTGAACTGCAGACGCCGAAGCTGACCTTCGCGATGCATTTCGTGCGTGCGATATACAACACGACTGAGCCCGTTGCCGGCAAGCGCGATCCGTATCGCACACGCGACAAGTAGAGTAGAATAAAGAATGATAACCTCCTTGCCTTAGAATATAGCGCTGTTTTTGCCCTGAGTCGGACTGAAGTAAATATCCAATAGGCCTGTTGTCTTCTCGGTCGCCATATTGCCCTTCAAGCTGTTGCTGTCGTGTGTTGGTCGTGACTATCTTGAAGCCAGAGTTATACAGAGCGGCGTGGTGACGTGTCGAGACTTCCTGCAGACTTCAAGGGTGCTGCGAAACGCAAAATCAGCAGCCCACGCTCATCCAAGCGTACACACAAGCACCACGTCGTAATTCTTAGACCGTCGAATCCAGGCAGCTGTGGTCGAGCACTCCGAGCGTGACGCAACGCCAACTGTCGCCGGCAAAATACGGGGAAAGACTGAGCCAACAGAGGAGGAGAAGGGAGTAGAAGGAGGGCTGGTCACCTTTGCAACGCTTTTCGCGCTGCCTGCAACCCCGGGCGGTTCATTCCTTTGGAGCGTGTTGGGAGACTAAGTGGTTTCGCGCAGCACGCTTCCCTCTTTGGTTGCTCCTCAACAGTCTAACCATTCATCGCGCGCGCCTATTGGGCTCCGTTACTCAATTTTAGGGTATTTCGCCTTAGAGTGTGCATGCGTCACGCAATAAATTTTGCTCTAGGGTCTTGTTTTGCTCATGTATTGTCGGGTAGTGCAGGCGGGGCGTTCTACGCACTCGTGCGATCGTTTTCCTGCAGTTTGTTCTCGTCCATTCGGTGCACATGCAGTGCATTTTTTTCTTGTATGGTTACCATTGTTTTACAGTCTAAACACGCCCGCTCAGTGCTTGCTTCAAAGGTCCAGCTACAAAAAATTTGTGCTTCGCTAGAACCATCTTCTTCCTTTTCGATGACATAGCAGTAAGACGGTGACGTGGTATCACGTTATTTTCACTACCTTCAAAGGGGCCCTGACACGCTTCTTCAAGTTACCAGGGAATGAGTTTGCTGCAAAAGCTTATTGCTTCACAAATTCAGTGCTGCAAAAAATTTAGGAATCCGCCCAGTGCGAGTGGAGTTACAAGGGTTTGTCGCATGCTGCAATAGCATTCTCTCTCTTCTCTCGTCCCGACAAAAACGTCACATGCGCCTCGTGGTCTTCAGCACTTTTTTTTCTTCTTTTTTTCTTTGAATCCGCCACTTTTTTGGTGTGTTCGCGCGCACAGACGTGGACAAGCCGCGGCCTCCCACAGCGATCTCTGTAACGGGTGAGCGCGCCATGTCTAAATCAGCCAATGGCTGATAGATAGGGAATTCACGTGTGATTTCTGGACATATTCCGTCATTTGTCAAGAGAATAGAAAGCAATTTTTAGCTAACTTTGTTAATTTATTGTGAATTACAGGCCGCGTGCTGCGCTATAATATTTGGCTCGCGTGTTGTCGGGAGCCTCTACTACCGATCGTCATCGTTTTCTGACCATGCTCAAAAAGTGTTGCAGGGCCCCTTTAGGGTGCAAAGCATCCCTTGCTCGGGTCTAGGTGCCGAGCAAGTCGCTATGTCACTCACACTACGCATGTGCAACTCTCCTCCTTCCCGCTGTTTAACATCTGCGCGTTACTCTCTCCACTTCTATCACCTGTTTGCGCTCGCTCCCACTCTTTCTCCTCTAGGCATTCCTCCCAGCGGCATTACCACAGCCATTGCGCATGCGCGTATCCTCCCTACTTTCTTCTGCGCTTGCTTTCTCGTGCCTCGCAACGTCTGATAACTAGTGCTACTGTATACGCTACCTTTAGGTAGCAGAGTTGTGCCAAGGTAAGCCATCTTGGTTTTAAATGCCTTGCGAGAAAGCCACTCACCACCCACGCCGGAACAGTACCCGCGCTTTTGATTACTAGCATTGCTTTATTTAATTTTTTCGCTTTCCTTCTATTTTTATGAAGGTATCAGCAAAACTCAGTTGGTCCGGTCACGCCTAGAAGCTATCACTGTATGCTTACGTTCTTGATAGGTAACAATGAAACAAATTGCGTCAGCTCGCTGAACCAGTGAGATATTTATAGTTTGTCACACATTAGCTTCGTCTTCTGTTTCGCTGTTTTCCCCATTTAAAGATATGAAATTATTTTTGCAATTTTTATTGCAATTGAGAAAGTCAGGGATGGAATTTTTTAGTCACCTTGTGCTCTTTCGATGACTCGGTGAGGAAGCAAGGTATAGTTTTATTGTCTTGACTTAATGATTGATATGCGGGGTTTCACTTCCCAAAACCACCATATGATTATGAGAAACTCCGTAGTGGAGGGCTCCGGAAATTTCGACCACCCGGGGTTCGTTAACGTACACCCAAATCTGAGCACACGGGCCTACAACCTTTCCGCCTCCATGGGAAATGCAGCCGCCAAAACCGAGATTCCATCCCGCAACCTGCGGTTTAGCAGCCGAGTACCTTAGCCACTATACCGCCGTGGAGGGGTGGTTTTATTGTCTTAAACTGAATCAAGCTGGACAACGATCGAGAGTGACCGTGCGACGCCCTTGTTACATGCGGCTCTCTTATTGCACTTGTATCATAGAAGAACGGCTACTTGGGCTATAGTTGTTCAACTCTTGTATTACAATCGCGGCCACCGACAGCTGACGTGAATTGTTGTTCAACAGCCTTGTCGCATCCAATGTTCCTTTCACTTGAGGTTTGAAAGCTGCATTAAATTCTTACGCTAGCTGCAACACCTACTCCATTGGAATATATCTAGTTTAAGTTCTTCCTTGATTTTAGCGTTTCATCCGTAAGATCACTTTAGACGTATGCAGCCGACACATGCTCGCCAACTCTGCGTGTATAACGTATTCACTGCATCTTTTGGTAATACAGATAGAGTAAGTTTTTCAGTGCCGTGGGTAGATAAAAAGAAGCCAAGCGTTGATTCCTTCCTCACTGAACACTAATATTTCTATAGCAACACCCGCTGCATCCGCGTCTAATTACATGGGCTGTACGTAGTACAATTCAAAATAGAATGCACTTGTTTTTTGCGACTAACAGGCAACATAGCTACCGTACCGAAGAAGCGCGGCGCGAAGAATAACAGCTGATGTCAACCGCGCTTGATCTGCTCAGAATCGGCAAGCATCAGCGTCGTCTGCGTATCGTTGGTTTCTTCGCAATGCAAATGAACCACTTGTGACCACGTGATGGCGCTCGACAAATAGAGGTGCTGAATTGGGGCAGGTGGAGTGCGCGGCGCCCGGGAAACAGTGGCGAAAATCTGCAACCCAAAGGTAGCATATACAGTAACTCTACTGCTAAGGTACGCTCGCTCCTCCAGTCTTGTAAGTATTCTTCCCTGTGGCGTTTACACCACCATTGCGCATGCAAGTTCCCTCCCCCTCTTTCTCCTCTCCTACGTTCGCCCTCTCTTGCCTCGATTGCCAACGCTGGTGGCAGGCAGCGTCTGCTAGCGAGTTTCTTGATTGAAAAGAACGACTGCTCAGCAACGTTGCTTCTTGGGCGTGTTGGAACAAGTCAAACATAATGTAGTGCAGCGCGAAAAACAGACAACCAACGAGCAAGAGAACGAGGACACAGTGAATTCTTCCTACTAAAGTTTATTAGATTGGGATGCGCGTATATATACAAAATCAAAGCAAGAAAAGTAAAAACCAGGAAGAAAAAATATAAAGGTGAAATCTGAAGAAGTGCCGGTAAGTCACACACGAGCACAAACACCACCCCCCTTCTATGACTCACCAAAAACAAAATCTCTTTATCAGGAAGGTGCAAGGAAGACCTGCTTACGCATGCGTCTCCAGACTGCTTGATTTCCTCAGCCTCAATGATTCCCCTCGCCCTTTTGTTCTGATTGCATGCAAGGACCGCGTTTTTTTTTTTCAAAG